AAAATAGATCTTCTCTCTCTTCTCCTCTACTACGGTTACGCTCCTTCTCCCTTGTCTTCTCGTTAGTCTTGTGTGAGTGGACATATGGTCATTACATAGAAGTAGAAGGCTGTACTGATCATTCTAACTCTTACTCACTCTGCGTTCGATCTGTGTTTACAGCTAAGGGATAAAAAAAAGTGCTGGTTATAATATATTCAAAATATGAAAATATACTGGGAAACAATCCGATGAATAGGGATGTTTGGGTCCATTAAGTGGTATTCACAAACTTTCTCACGTGTCTTCAATGCATATGACAATTAGACTGATCCCTTACTCATTCTAATATTCACTGCACTGCCACTTTTGATACTTAGAGCTAGTTTTTGCCGCTCGGTTTCTCGAAAGAAGCAGCTTTAACTAAATTTTCCTACTGTTCAATTGCAATATCGACACAATTCATGCGCCCGCAGATCCTTCTTTCTCAGAGGCGGCATTCCCCACATAGATTACGTAACCAAATCGCTCTTATACAGAAAAATGAATTCAAAAAAAAAAGAATATACCTGACTGTCTTCACTGTCGCTTTCCGCTAGCCGAGCCGAACCATCTGAATCGTACAGTTCGCTTGCTTCACTTTCTTCACTGCTTGATTTCATAATTTTCTTACGTTTTTTGGCTTTCTTCACCATCATTTTCAGATTTATTGGCGCCTTCAAAATGAGAAATCGTAGGCAATCACGGATCTCTCGGTGTAGTAACATCAATGCTAGGAAACGGATAGCAGCACACCCGAGACAGCGTGTTACGCAAAACCAGCACAAACAGAAATCAGCTACAATTGGCCGTTTCCGTTGTTAAATACTTTTTATGAGTCTTCTGCATTTATGCAAATGTTTGAACGTATGCCACCAAGAATCTCTCTGTCTGTCTGCCTGAGTTTTTGCATTTCTTATGCAATACCAACCAGGAGATCAGAAGATATAAAAAGTTGAAGTTTCAGTATCTTATTCAAAATCGTAAACGGCTGAAACTTTACCGCCAATCTCTAAGTTCGGTGAAGCCTGCGTAATGAATTAATGAGACGAATTCTGTAGTATATGGTTCAGATACCAATGCATTTCTGGAAGAAAGCCGACTTGTTTGGGGTCTGGGTGGAAGGACGATCTGCACACTTGAGGTAATAAAAAATCAAAGTAAAGAGGAGAAAAATTACTACGACCATTTCAAACAGAAGCAGTAATGCAGGGTGAGACTTCAGCATGCCACATTTTCAGCTTTCCTGTCCTTTGGTCCCAAAAATACAGCATAATGAGTTAAAGGAAAAATTTTTCAAACTGCGAGCATATAGGGTTTTCCAACTAAACATATCTGTTTTAGCTACAAAAACCCACTAGAAAGACTATACAAACCGTTCTTCTGCTATGTGCACTGCAATTTATTCTGACCTTACTTTTTGCTAATTCACGCTTAAAAAGCCTCCTCCCTTCTCTTATATTTACTTTAAATAAGATGAGAGAGACAATCAGCAATTACACGAGTGGCAGCATGCAACAACAGCACCCGCCCGCTATCAGAGTTGCCCATGATTCCACCTTTTGACAATAGCTTATTAGTTAACAGTATTTCCGACTGCCTGGTATACACAGATTCCCCACTGAAACAAACCGTAAACTTGAGAGGGCTGAAACTTGAGGATCTTAATCTACATGCGTGCATGGGCCCCCATCCCCAAAATGTGCGCTCTTACCCGTGTGGAACCTACGTACGGGCCCGCCAAAGTTTTCTACGGGCAAGCTGCTAACTCGGAAACCAGAAAAGCTGGAAAGCTGAGACTATGAGGGGATGTTCCCCATCCAAGTATGTGTTAGTGAGCTCAAACCCAGTCTCCGGGAATGCGTGGTACCTACGTAGGAGCCCGTGAAAATTTTTTGCAAAATGACTGCTTTACTAAAAGAGCCGAACTTCCGGCCTTCAGTAAAACAGTTATGCTATTTTTCTCCCAGCCATTATCGACTAGCGTCTAAAGCTTTTTATAAGCTGCTGCGTAAGATGGACGAAGCTAGAACTGAGAGAAAACCCCCATAATGTAACTCCCACATAAAAAATGTGCCTTACAGCGATGTCACTGTAATTTAAAATCCTTTAAAAATTTTGTTCCGTAAATCCAAATCGTTTTTTATACGTCTTTTGCAGCTATAATGCAGAAGACGCATATTGACGAGGGGCTGTCTGTGTGTGTGTGTGTGTGTCTGTCTGTCTGTCTGTCTGTCTGCCTGTGTATTCGTCTGTACCGATTTTTCATCTCGAGACCCACAAAAACTACAGGGCTTAAACTCGAAGATCTTAATCTACATGCGTGTACGAGCTCCCATCCCCAAAATGGGCGCTCTTACCCGCGTGGTACCCACGTACGAGCCCGCCGATGTTTTTTATGGGCAAGCTGCTAACTCGGAAAGCAGAAAAGCTGAGGAGAGGAAATTTTAAGGGGATGTTCCCCATCCAAGTATGTATTAGTGAGCTCAAACCCAGTCCCTGGGTATGTGTGGTACCCACGTAGGAGCCCGTGAAAATTTTCGCGTAAGTTGATAATTCGGGGATCTGAGAAACTAGAAAGCTTAAATCTTAAGGGGACATCCCCCGTCCAAGTAGGTACTAGTGAGCTCAACTGGGTAAACGTGGTACCCACGTACGCGCACCTGAAAGTTTTTTAGGGTAAGTTGAAAACTCGGAAATCTGAGAAGCTAGAAGGCTGAAATTTTAAAGGAATATCCACCGTCCAAGTAGATATTAGTGAGCTCAAACCCAGCCCCCGGGTAAGCGTGGTGCCTCCGTACGGGTTCATGAAAGTTTTTTTTCGGGTAAGTTACTAACTCGGGAGCCTGAGGAGCTAGAAGACTGGAATTTTGAAAGGATGTTTCCTGACAATACTAGCGGCTAGTCTGAAATTCTTTTAGCTAGAAGCATCTGCCGGAAAAACCAGTACCGTTAGAGACAAAATCTGCGGGGAGCTGTGCAAAAAACGCATCCTCGCACGGGCAGCCCGTGCGTTGGCCAATTATTTGTTACTAAAAGGGTTGCCAATGTGTTCGCTTTATGCACTTCAACGTACAATTGTGTGCCTACTCGAGGAATGAACAAAGTTGAAATTCTGAATTCAAACAAATGATCATGCAAAAACCATTCGAAATTAACAAAAAAAAAGTTACAGTTTGTGAAGATGATTCTTCGGAGCCTTCATTTTCACTTGAAGACGAAATAATCGCTCGTCTGCGTTTCCCGTTGATCACAGTCGGCTGGGTATTATTTTCTTTTAGCGAGTCATTTAAACGCGGCTTACACAGCCAATTCACCGACTTTTTCGTTGCTTCTTCGTTCGATTCTGCGTCTGTTAGTGCTTCCAATCTTCAAAAATGCCCGTTAAATCATCAAAAAATCACTTGTTTTTGGAATTAAAATGACATAAGGAAGACTGCTAGTGACATATAATGATCCATTTGGATGTCTTTAAAATTTCCGGATATAGGAAACAGCTACCGCGATGTCGGGAAAAAATGCAACATCACGATCACTCAAATTTGACTACATTTACAACTGTATTCCGTTCTTGCGAACCATATTCTTCTAAAAAAGTGCCTCGTTTCGGGCCTTTGGAAAATCCTTTGGAAAATGTGAAGAAAATCACTACTGGTGGTTCGTTTACCTCGAATTTCAAGCTCCCGGTATAATTTCGCTCTTCAAGCGTCCGTAATTATCTAAACTACCCGAACTATAGGTCTTATCAGAAACGTTAAACCGTCCTACTCTGGGCTCTCCCTTCATTTTTAACTTAGTAATTTCACTATCCTTACTCGCAAAACATTGGCTCCGGTGCAGCGGTACTGAAAAAGGAAGAACGACAGCCATAATACTGGCAGTGTTTTGACGTTTCTACTACGTAGCAGCCTGCTGGTACATATTTTTGCTGAAGAAAATAGCAAATGTTTCCTTTTGATCAACCGGACGTGTCTTCCTCCAAATCTATCTGACCGTTCGCTTATCAGCTCGCTGCATCACTACTGTTTCAAAGTTAGTAAATTATGTCTACAACACCTCGTTCGCTTCGTGGGATGCACATGCAAAAGGCAAATGGTTGGCACAACTATGCTTGCTAATGCTCTTTGTGTTAACTACGTGCTTTTCTGGAGGAATAAGAAAAGCGCGCCCACGTCCGAGCAAATTCTTACAGAAAAAGCTCATCCTGGTACCTCTCTTCAAATGTTAAATCCCTGCACGTGCTTGATGATGCTCGGCCGTTTTCGCCACCATCAATATAAGAATTATCGCCGTTGCTTTGCGGTGATTCCAGAACCTCAAGCTCCTCGTCACTCAACTCATCGTCCAGCTCATCTTCGCCTGATGAAGACGCCACTTTTCGGCGACGACAAAATGGCTTTGTTTTCTTTATGTCTGGAAAACACAAATTAGTATTGACATTCATGACATAAAAGAAAAAAGTACGAAGAGGAAATAATTGACCGTCGACTGCCGGTGTGAAGATGCGTTCTTTGCATAGATCCAAGCAGGTTTTTATCACTAACGGCGCCGAATATTCCGGCAGATGCTTTTAGCTAAAAGAATTGAGACTGCCCACTAGGAGTGTCAGAAAACTCCCTTTAAAATTCCGGCTTTCTAGCTTTTCTGGCCCTTTGTCTAACAACCTACCCGCCAAAAATTTCCACGGGCCCATAAGTGAGAACCATGTACACCTGGCGGCTGGATTTGAAGCCATGTGATTCTACATGGACCGGGACATTCTTCTAAAATTCCAGCCTTCTACCTTTCCAAGTTCTCGAGTTAGCAAATTACCAGCGGAAAATTTTCTCTGGCAGAATCATACACGTCTGGGGGCTAATTTTAAGTCAATTGATTGTACGTGAAAAGAAAAAATCTCAGGATTTCAGCTTTTTGGCTTTTCAGTTTCCCGAGTAAAGCACTTGCCCGCAAACTTTTGGGAACTTAATCTGTATATACGTACGGGTTCCCATCCCCAGAATGGACGCTGTTGCGGACGTAGTCCCACGCCCCACGTCGGCAACAGCGTCCATTCTGGGGATGGGAGCCCGTACGTGTATACAGATTAATTTCCCAATGTTTCAGCTTTGTAGATTTTGTAGGTCTCGAGATAAAAAATCGCTGCAGACGAACGCATACACACACAAGCAAACGCTCGAAAGCATGTGTTTTGCATTGCAGAGATGCAAAAAAAAGGCACAGAAACAAGTCGGCTATACAGCGCGTCCTCCAGACCGATCTCCACCACCGAATCAGCAAAGGGAAGGCGAGAAGTTGATGAGAATCTCAGGCAATCTTTCTCAGGCTAGATTTCACACAAGCTTAAATTCCTACCATAACCGGCGACAACAATGCTGTTGGAAGTTCCAGTGAGTATGAATTCTCGTTAATCATCTACGTGGTGAATATCAGTGTAAAACTAAGGAGAGGAGGGAAAGGGCAAGCACAACACTTGCAAAGAAGAATGGCAAGCAAAAAGGGCAAAGGCGGATAAACTGTCCGTTGGTAACATCTAGTTCCAAAAAGGTGCAGCATGAAAATGAATTCCGCTCAAAAAACGCAAAAAAATGAGAAATCGACTACTTCGATCAAGGTTTGGCAAATCCTCAAGGATCCCTCCGCAGTACTCACCTTCAATATAAAAAGGGACCACCACATGCTGCGGGCAAGAATTTACATCTTTCTAGCTAATAAAAAGTATTATACGTGAAAAGTCAGCGTAACAGGCCTGGAAAAATCGATGGCGATCATATGATGCGAGAAATCAAGAAAACCAATTGAACTGTAATGGCCAATGTGGGGGTGCCTCTTTGATAACTCTCTTAAAAATGCAAAACGAAACCGAATGCGCCCGGATTCGATGGACAAGTTCTAGGATCTCCACAGCTACGGCTAGAGAAGGGAAGAAATATGAAAAAGGATAAATCTCAGAACGTGACGTGCTCCCTCCCCTCTAACCACATTAGGCGAAAGCTGGAAGGAGGATCTCGAAAACTACATTCCAGTAACATCACGAACATGGGATCCCCAGATCGACTATCGAGGCATCTCAGTATTTTTGGTGTACACTGGAGCGTTTCCTCTTGCTTTTTATAGAAATCTGAAGAAAAAAAGCGCTGAGCTAGAAATTCAAATTCAGCTGGAAGTGCTGGTTCCAAGAGAGAGAAAAAAAGGTAGTGCGGCTTCCTTTTCCAGATTCTAGATATTCCGGTTTTCCTGAATGTTAGCCAGATGTTTGGATCAGTAGGCCCCGGATGTTCAATTTCGGTGAGTATGAATTTTTGAAATAAGATTTACCTTTCACTCCATGCTGGAATTGCATTCGGTTGTTCTTTTTGGTTGCAAGCAGGCCGACCATCTGAAACAACGCACTAATTTTGCCGCATTCAGCATAGTTGGTGACAAATTCAGCGCAGACTGGCAGTACTGGGCTTTGGCCAAATGTTTTCTCCCTCATTCTGATGTGCTTTCGAACTACAATTGTGAAATGCCCCCGTGTTACTACTGGGAATGCCAAACGCTTTGCGCGAAAGTGCCTCAGTAAGCCATCGAAAAACGAAAACACAGTGACACGCACTTGCAGCCTAATAGGAATAAATGTTTTTGTGATAACCACTTGCGAAAAAAGATTTTGCTTCTCAAGTAATCTAAGAAAGAAAAATACGAAATCGATGGAGATTTTCGTAAGACCGGACTGCATCAGCTCAACTTGATTACCCTCAAAAAAACAAAGATAAAATCTGCTAAGTCAACACACACACATACACACATTCTACATGCATACATATATATACACATACATACATACATACATACACACATACATACATAAATACGAACAAACATATACATAACAAATACACAGACAGTGACAATCTAGTAATTCTAGGTTCCACATGAGAGCTACGAAGGTCAGAAACCAAAATTCGGACCGATTTGGGCGAAAGCCGACACCTTCAACCTAAAAATTAACAAAGGCCGATATCTTCAATCTGTAGATTAATAGCTGTCCTCCATAATTCAGGTAGTGGCGCCGCCTGCAACGGAACACTGCCAAATTCGGATCAATGAGAAAAAAGCGGCTTGAGCTGCTCCATCGGTGGTCACACTTGCCTGTGGTACTTGAGGTCACCCATGTGTGTCACGCGAGCTCCTGAATGACAGGCAATGAGCCTGCCAGCCCAAGCAAAGAACAACCACTCACCTGCGCAACCGACTGCCTTTTGTACGCCAGTCCACGTATGATGCCATTTATCGCGGCATTCGGCCGATGCGCGATACGACGTTTCTCGCCGTCACTGCCGCGCAGCCCGGCATCGTCCATTCCCGATGCACCGCTCACTGCCAGTTCTCCTGCTAATTCACATCTCCGCTTTTATGTATTTTTGCATATATGCAAATACAAAAACGCATACTGGCAAGAGGCTGTGTGTGTATGTGTGTGTGTGTGTGTGTGTGTGTGTGTGTGTGTGTGTGCCTGTGTTCGCATTTTTTGTCAGCCACTTTGAACTCGAGAAGCAAGAGAGCTCGAGAGCTGAAAATTCGGGAGTATGTGCCTAAACCACGCGCGACCCTCCTGTTTTAATATCATCACCCACCTACGCCTGAGTGCCGCGCACGGAAGTCACAAAAAAATATGCAAATTTTTTAGCGGGAAAGTGATCTCGGGAACCAGACAGAAGAGAGAGCTGAAACTTTGCAGGAATATTCTCTGTGCATTGTATGAGCTAAAGATTTTAAATTCAGATCTCAGGCATTCGTGTTTCTCACGTATGGAGACGTGAAAGTTTTGGCAGGAAAACAGCTAACTTGGCAACCAGAGAACCTGGAAGGCTGAAATTATAGGGGTATATTCCCCGTCCACTTACAGTTCGAAGATTTCAAATTCGGCCCCTCCTCACCGCCTTTCCCCTGGGAACGCCTGTTACTCACTTATGGGCTTGTGAGTGTTTTGGCTGGAATATTACTAGTTCAGGAACCAAAGCTAGAAAGCTGAAACTTTAGGGTAATATTCCTTATCCAAGTACAACTTAAATCGTTCCAACTCACACAACTCACACTCTAAGTATGCATGGTTCTCGTGTGTCGGCACTTAAAAGTTTTGGCGGGAAAATTGCTCGCTGAACAGCTAGGTCACTTCCAAAGAACGGTCGCTGAATGAAAACTGTTCATTGCTTTTATGCAAAATTTAAGATGATTTACGCTAGTGAGCAAAAAAGGTAGATGTAAGGTAACAAGTATTCATGCTGTTAATGACCTGAGTATTTCAAGTCTGATGTAAAAACGTGTGATCGCACCGGTAAGCCTGGTGCATTTCAGCCTGAGTTCAAAATTACACTGTACAAGTCCAAAGAATGGAGATGCATCAGTGGCGAGAAAGGACGCAACGATGAAACAACCGCTCACCAGTGTGTGAAAGCATATAAAGCAAACAACTAATAAAACTCTGCTCGGCTCGGTCGTGCGTAAAATAAGAACTCATTTTTGTGCAAAAAGAACCACTTGTTTGTAGGTCCGCTGGGATCGGTGCAACAATCATAAGCGAATGCAATTTTCGGTCCTTTGTTTCTGTGGATTTTGAAGGAAGAAAACAGAGGTATGAATGCTGTACAAGCCGCACGCTGCTCTCCCAGCCCACAATCTCAATAAATGGGGGTGCGTTGGCGAGCTTTCGCTTAGGGGCATCAGTGCTCGGGGGAACCAAAAAAAGGGAAAAACACGACTGCACTCGTTCTCCTACACTTCAGAATAGCATATCTTAGGTTTAAGGTTCTTTCGCTGTTGCGTTTCAGCCGCTGCAGTCTGGCTTATCTGCCACAAACATCGTTTTGTTTCTCAGCTGAATCTTAGTCCAATCCTTTATGGGTTTATGATTTTAAGCAAAACGATGCTAAATAAAAACTGACAAGAGCAAAAATTCAGGTTTTTTACTGGGCAAAATACACCTATGTAATTCCATTCCCCAATAATTCCCAGCCCAAGCAGCAGTGTCTCAGCCCCTCCCTAGTCCCCTCCCCTCTGTTACGAACCCTGTGAACTAAATCAGCACTCCTAACCCCCCTGCCCTCCTACACCCAACACCATCACCAAATAGCTTAAAACCCACTCCCTCCTCCCCCCACTTCCAAACACGGCACGACGAAACGCACCACCGAAATCGCAACCCATATCCCATCCCGGCCGAAACGGGTTTTACCATCCGCCCCCATATTACCACTGCCTCGACTCGGCCACGCGGTTTGCACTCGATTTTGGGGTCATGGGGGTGCAGGGTTTTTCACCTAGATGGGGTTGTGGGTGTTAATTACTCTTCAACGAAAAGGTTTGGGATAAGCATGAGGTATTCATGGGATAATCTTCCTTACAACCTCCCCCCTCTCCTCCCCTCCCCGTCGCGTTCCTACTCAGCTCTTTTGCGATCAGTGCTTCCGCCC